CACACACACACACACACACACACACACACACAGAGAGAGAGAGAGAGAGAGAGAGAGAGAGAGAGAGAGAGAGAGAGAGAGAGAGAGAGAGAGAGCTTAGTTTCCAGGGTTTATGCCCTAAATTTAAAGAGTCTCAGTCATAGGAGTCAGGAGTAGGGTTGGGCATCCAGTCTGCTCGGCATTTATGATACAGAAGAATTAGAAGTCCTATTACAGAGAAGCTCCGCATGGACCCTGCTCAAGCATGACAGAGTTAAAAAAAAAAAAAGGGGGGGGTTACGGCTACGAATTAGGGCTCAAGTGTGATAGATGGAATAGAGGGTGGTAAAGGAAATGCTGGGGATATACATTCAATAGGTACAATGAAGACCATCTAACGGGCACAAGCTTGGATTAGTTGAGGTAGGGGTGACGGTTGGTATGAATACACTGCGCAGTGTGAAATGGCCAAGTAGAATGGAGTGGGAGAAGGGGAAGACACTCTAGGAATAGCAGACTGTTGGAGTAGGAAAGGAAATGGATATGGAGGTAGCCATGGGGTGGAGATGGTAAGAAACGATGAAGGACTGGCATGCGGCCTGAAGGACTGCTCAGAACACCCCCGTCCGGTGCCATGCCCCCCTGGTGGCTGCTCTATTACCGTCTTCACCCGAATAGAACGCCCGGTCATTATCGCTGCAACTGGACCGAAAGTTGTGCAAAATACAGCTATAATGACCGGGCGTTCTATTCGGGTGAAGACGGTAGTAAGCCTCCCAACCAGTAGCATAGCCCCCGAGGACGGATCAAGGTTGGGGGATGGGTGCTCTATAGCAGCCCCCCCTTGTTTAGGTGTCTAGTGCTGCACGGGCTGGGCTGATCCTTTCCTCTTATCTTCTCTCTCCGTTACATTTGTGTACAACATGCTTGCCGCTGATAAGCAACCGGACTGATGCCCCCAGAATAGGAGGGGATTGTTTTTTTTCGTTTTCTAATTATATAGATGAGTCGGTGAAACTCCGACGAAACAGTTTGTCACAGCCCCTCGTTTGTTGTCCTCTTCTCTCTCTCTCTGCCTACGGTTTACCGGGCAGTTCTGTTTGTGACGATATATAGACGATATATATTATATATAATATAATTATTATCTAGGCTACCAGAGTGGGCCGGGGTCACTTGCCCGGCCGGGCCAAAAAAAAAATAAAAAATAAAAATAAAATAAATATTTTTAAAATTTATTTGTTATTCTAAATTTGGTGAAGAATTTCGATGTGACCCTGAGGCAAAAGTTGTTCAGTTTATTTTTCTGCATAACATAGTTTTTTTTGGGGATTTTTTTTTTTTTTTT